AACAAAAAAATAAATAATTATTTATATTTGATAAATAAATAACAATAAACACACAAAAACCAGAAACAGCAGCAGCAACAGCCGCAGCAGCAGCAGCAGCAGCAGCAGCAGCAACAGCTGGCTTGCTGAGATGTTCGCCTTGTGGCGAGCAGCAACAGCCAGCCGTTTATATTTATTCTTCTTCTTTTCAGTTGCATAATATATACATATTAAACTTTATTATATACTTATATAAAACCCTAAACCCTAAACCCTAAACCCTAAACATCTCTCTCACCCTAAAAAACCTAAACTCTGTTGCTGGCGGTTCAGCCTCATCTTAACCCGAGATATTTGTTTCTCTTTTTTCTTTTATTTTCCTTTTTATTTGTTCTTTTTTCTTTCTTTTTTGTTTCTCCCTTTATTCTATTTCTCTGTTTCTTTTGTGTGTTACGGTGTACATACACCCCAACCGCCACCACCACTACCACCCTCAGCTGTTTTTTTTTTTTTTTTTTTTTTTTTTTTTTTTTNCTTCCTTCTTCCTTCTTGATTGTTTTCTATTTTTAATTTGCTGCTACAATGAGGGTACCACGGCCCCTGCTGCAGCCTGTGCTGCTGCTGCTGCTGCCGCTGCTGCTGCAGCTGCTGCTGCCTCTTGCTGCTCTCCCCTTCTCGGTAGCATCAGCAGCAGAAACACACAAATCTCTCTTTCTTCCTTTCTCTCTAACTCAACAGAACAATGCAGCAGGCAAACTGCAGCAAATAGCGCCTCACAGCAGCAGCAACCTGCTGCAGCTGCTGCAGCAGCACAAGCAGCAGCAGCAGCAGCAGCAGCAGCAGCAAGAGGAAGCAGAGTTAATTCCCTCCTCTTTTATTATGCCCCATAGAGGCCTCCACTTGAATATAGCTCGCTATGGTCCTCAGCAGCAGCAGCTGCAGCAGCAGCTGCAGCGGCAGCAGCAGCTGCAGCAACGTCATCGTCAGCAGCAGCTGCAGCAGCAACTGGAGCAGCAGCGACGACAGCAGCAGCTGCAGCAGCAGCAGCGACAGCAGCAGCAGCGTTTACGTCTTGGTGAGATATACGGAAAGCTAAGAGACAGAACAGCTAGACAGACTCCTCCTGCTGCTGCTGCTGCTGCTCCTGCTGCTGGCGTTATGGGGCGGCTGCTGCACCGAGCTCACCTCCGCAAGCTGCCGGCGCTGCAGCAGCAAATATCTCCTGCTGCAGCAGCAGGTCCAGCAGCAGCAGCAGCAGCAGCTCTAGGTAGACCCCTCACTCCTGCAGCACAAGGCTACACGGGCCCCCAGGCGCCCGCAGAGCCGCCGCGTCTATACACCCCGCAGCAGCAGCAGCAGCAGCAGCAGCAGCAGCANCCCAGGCGCCCGCAGAGCCGCCGCGTCTATACACCCCGCAGCAGCAGCAGCAGCAGCAGCAGCAGCAGCAGCAAGAAGAGCAGCAGCAGCAGCAGCAGCGTCTGCTACGTTTATCCCCAGAAGCAAAACAGCAGCAGCAAGAGTATCCTCCTGTTGGTGGTGGTTTGGGCTTAGGTGCGCTGCGTATAGGGGCCCCCCGGGGGGCCCCCCCTGCAGCAGCAGCAGCAGGAACAACAGCAGCAGCAGCAGCAGAAGAAGAAGCCCTTCCTGCTGCAGTGCCAGCACCGCCAGCAGCAGAGCAGCAACGAATATTAACTAAAGTAAAGGAGGAGACAGTGGCGGTGATGCGACGAAATATGCAGCAAAAGGCTGAAGACAAAGCAGCAGCAGCAGCAGCAGCACGAGCAGCAGCAGCAGCAGGAAGACAACAACAGCAGCAGCAGCAGGATTTTCTGCTGCAGCAGCACCCTGTTGAGGCCATAGCACACGAAGCATTAGTAACGATGAGCGGCAGCAGCATAAAAGATGAAATAATAATAAAAAACATAACCGACCCCATCAGCAGCAAGCTGCTGCTGCGCAGCTGCAGGCTAAAGGAGCTCAGAATACTGGGGGTGGGGGGCACAGGCCTGGTGCTGGCTGTTGGTGTTGTTGACGATGCAGCAGCAGCAGCACTAGGGGCCCGGGAGCTAGCGATGAAGCTTATGTATGATTACGTACCAGGGCTGCAGCAGCTGCAGCAGCAGCTGCAGCAGCAGCAGCAGCAGCAGCAGCAGCAGCAGTTGCAGCAGTTGAAGCAGCAGCAGCAGCAGGTTATGCAAGCTGCTNGCAGCAGCAGCAGCAGCAGCAGCAGTTGCAGCAGTTGAAGCAGCAGCAGCAGCAGGTTATGCAAGCTGCTTCTGCTGTTTTATCTGAACTCTTCGCTCAGGAATTAGATCCTCTACATACTATTGCTGCTGCTGCTGCTGCTGCTCCTGCTGCAGCAGCAGAAACAGCAGCAGCAACACCTGAAACAGCAGCAGCAGCAGCAGCAGCAGCAAATGAAGGAAAAAAACAGCAGCTGTCTGCACGTGAAATAGCAGATGACAACCACTGGGCGCTGCCTCTATTTCAGGCTTCTCTAAGCATAACACCATCAGCAGCAGCAGCAGCAGCAGCAGCAACAGGAGCAGCAGCAACAGTAGGAGATACAGTATTTACATATAATGATTTTATATTTTTTAGTGAAGTTCTTCTCTCTGAAGTTATGCTGGGGGACGCTTCCATGCTGCTGTATAAAAGCCCCAACATGCATGCAACCAGCAGCAGCAGCAGCAGCAGCAGCAGCAGCAGCAGCAGCAGCGCGCTTTCAACTGCAGCACGAGGGTATGTTTGTTATGGATTGATTGCAGCAGCAGCAAAGCTGCATGCAGCAGGGATAGTACATTACGATATAAAACCCGAAAATTTATTAATAAGTGGAAAAGGAGAAGTCTATCTATCTGACTTCGGCATGAGCAGCAGAAACAAAGAAAAAAGAAAATGCACAGAAAAATACACTCCACTGTATATGGACCCA